AGGCATGACTTTTCGCTCGCGGTACCTCACTCGAGGGTGAACCGTCGACGGAACTTTTTTGCGGTCCGAGTATGTTTCTTTTTGAACTGCCTACCTCCCAATGTTGTACATTCGCCGAGTTTAACCATTTTCAAGAACAATTTAGATGCATATCTTATGTCCAAACCGAACCTGGAACTGTTTAACCCCATGTGATACTCAGCAAACATTACGTATATTTCTGTGTCCCTTTGTATATATACGTTCATCCTATGGTCGTTGTAAAATTAACTGCTTTTTAGACCATTAAACCTTGAATTACCTTGAATGTGAAATGAGGTCGCACGAGGCAAAAAGACCTCATTGAGGGGTACTCTGTTACCAAATGCGTATTTTCCATAATATTCTCTTGTTAATTCCTCTTCTTGAATTTGTGAGTGGTTGATTTCAGTTTGTTACAGTGCTAGTACATTGTATTTGACGACGAATCATAAAGACAAGAACCACTTCAGAATGATGCACGTTGTCTCAGTTCGTTATTTTCGGTTGGCCACACCAGATTTTGTTTCTGTGACCGATCATCAACTCAACCGATGTACGTCATCTATGTTTCAATGCGGATGTGTGTATAACCGCCAGAACTAACATTCGAGTTGTGTCAGGGGTTTGTTTAAACTTGACCTTTTAGAGTGGAGGCACCAGCCTAATACTCCACCTTTAAACAGCAACCGGTCATCTTGCAATTCGGAGACATTTCCACTGAGGTAGCTGCAAACCTGTAAAGTTTTCCTGGTATGCAGCTATTCCTCGAGGCAGGGAACAGCGATCGCAGCTCGGCCGCTGGCCACGTATTCGGAGGACTATGTGATATCAAACTCTGAAAGCGATTCCTTCTGTGTGGTGAACTGAAAGTAAGTGCTTGGTGAGTACGGAAGATTTACAAGCCGAGCTTCGCAATTANTAGGCTGCTGGGACTGTGGCGTGTTCGCGATGAAACAGTAAGGTGAAAAATCGGAAATACTAAAGTAGAAACTGAGATTTGCTAGGTTAAGTTGTTTGGTTCATTTAATACGCATTGATCTTTGATTTCAAACTTGTTCGGTGCGGACTTCGAAGCATCTTTTTATCCTGTCGAATGCGTGTTCTATCTATCTCGTGTTAAGAAGCACTAACTAGCGGTATATCAAAGAAATTTCATCCATATAACTTCAAGACAGCCTTGAGGGAGAATGAGTGACAAATCCTGACAGTGAAATGCATACACATAGCTTCAAGTTTTGAGTCAGCTTGTGTCCTGAAATCGATGAATGGGCAGCTGAAACAGTTCCTTTTATGATTGAGTGGTGCTGAAGAATACTGGCTCTGACGGCACTGTATTTATTTACTCTCCACATTTGAGTCAACAAGAACTGGCCCCATTAGAATCACAAGAATAGATTACCTCTTTGAGAACTGTATAATCCACGGCCGCGTCCACTGTGATGTCGTAACCAACCATCGGTGGCATTGATGGAGTTATTAGCCATTTGGATGGTGACAGCGTTAATCGAATCTCCCTTCTTGGACGTACCTAAAAGCAGAGAAAATATAACAGAAACAGCGCAGTTGATCTATTTACTTAATAGGCTGCTCTATCATGTACTGAGCCAAACCATCCACGAACAGATCGCTAAACTGAGTTGAGAATGTCTAAATGGAACGTGTACTGGCTTCCCCGAAAACAGGGCTTGACGATTTTGGAGCAGCCAGGTGTTTATTCGGATAACACAACCAACCAAATTTCACAGTCTTCCTAATTTGCCGAACTGGTCATTGCCACGTGAGTTGTAAATTGCAGCTCATTAAGTTAGAACGAGGGAAAACTGTAGGTGGAGAGGTATCTCGTATGAAGTTGAACGACTATGTCTTCAGTTCTGTGTAGTCGTTGAGTGCTCGTTCTTCGGAGGAATTTATCACTTTATATTCTAAAGAAAACTGCCTGTCTCTTTCAGAATGTAGTCCAGTCCGCTAAAAAACCTGGCCAATTCAAGCAGCTTGTGCTGCTGCCTTTCTCGTGATCTCGGCATTCGTACCCTATTTTTTTGTTCACTTAGTCTTTGCTCTGTTTGGTTGTTCGTTCTCAGAATTGGACAACAAGGGAAGTCTATCTGCTGCGGCTAAACACCAAATATGAATTCATTGTAACCATCGTATGCTTTCATATTGGGTAAACCAGACCTAAGTTAATAACAAGCGATTCCAGCCTGCGCATCACTCAGCCGAGCAAATCTTCAAACTGAACTGGCATAGAGTTGCTTATACACCAGTTGAAGGCTAGTGCCAGAATTATTTCAAGCAGCAGTGCAGCCGTCTCATGGAATGACCAGTGGAGGCCACTTTCTGTCCATGAGGCCAAAATCTAGTTTCCTCCCACTTTTTACCCTGTCCGTGTGCACCACTTTCGGGGTTCAAGATTTGATTTGGCATTCCATTTCTTTCGTATCTGGTGCTAAGCAAATAGTATTCTGAGTAAACCACAGCCGTTCGTATTTTCCAGTAATTTTTGAAATGCCGTTAACCATTCTGTCTTTTCAAAAGTTTAGGCCTCATCCGTTATTGTTGTTGTTCAACCCAACTTTTGTTGAATCTGTGGGGCATTTTCCTTTCATCCAGACCTACTCGACATTCAGGGATCAACCGCACACAACCGGCCCACTGAACTGAAATGCCGTTAACCATTCTGTCTTTTCAAAAGTTTAGGCCTCATCCGTTATTGTTGTTGTTCAACCCAACTTTTGTTGAATCTGTGGGGCATTTTCCTTTCATCCAGACCTACTCGACATTCAGGGATCAACCGCACACAACCGGGCACACCCACTGAACTGTACACCCAGACGTAAAACCCCATGGCAGATGTACCTGGTTTGGATGTATAACTATCGAAGTTTGTCTTATCTAGACTGGTATTACTTGCCATATTTAGTAGTGCTTTTGAAATAGACGTACGTGTTAGGAGGTAGTATGGCTGGGATTTTCTGATTGTTTTGGACTGCTGGTGTTTTACTAGTCACCCCGATGGTAAAGTATGAGGGACCTGGGTAGGCTGAAGGGTGCCCGGTTTCCAGAGAGGTAGCTGAGAATCTTGTATCACATGGTGTCATATTGGGATACATCTTTCTCGTACAGTAATCATTAGCATTCTTGTGCTAGGTCGGGCCGATTGACACAGAAGGTGCCTGCTCACTTCTCTTGATGCAGACAAAAATGTCGCCTTTGAAAGTCATAATGTCGTTCATCAGTTGACAGTTGCACTGCAAACCTTCACTTTTTACGGCGCTTGGCGCAACTGAATGGGCAAACCTAGAAAACTCTGGAATCTCTGTATGCCATATTGAGATCCCTTGAAAAGCAACTTGACTGAACAACTAGTGGTTCACCAGTGCTGATCTACGGTACTGCTCGCAAATAAATCTGTCTGCAGCTGTCAATCGTCAAGTGCTATTGTACACAGACAACTCTACATTTGAGTCGGTTTGTATGCCATATTGAGATCCCTTGAAAAGCGACTTGACTGAACAACTGGTGGTTCGCCAGTACTTTTGGCCTACTGATCTACGGTACTACTCGCAAATAAATCAGTCTCCAGCTGTTTATTCTGAAGAATTATTGTACACAGACAACTCTATATTTATGGTTGATTGAAAAGGGACACCCTGCATTCAGGGACGTTTTTCAGTAACTCTTGGGCCTTTTGTTAAAATTTGTCAAAAAAATTAGGGCCTCCCTTTTGAATCAGATAACGAAAGTGGAATGCAGTCGCACGAGGCAAAAAGCCCTCATTGAGGGGGTACTCTGTTACCAAATGAGTATTTTCCATAATATTCTTTCTTGTTAATTCCTCTTCCTGAATTTGTGAGTGGTTGATTTCAATTGCTACGGTGCTAGTACATTGTATTTGACGACAAACCGCGAAGACAAACAACGACTTCAGAATGATGCACGTTGTCCCAGTTCATTATTTTCTGTTGGCTACACGAGGTTTTGTTTCTGTGACCGATCATCAACTCAACCGATGTACGTCATCTATGTTTCAATGCGGATGTGTACATAGCTTTTTCCGCTAGAACTAACATTCGCGCCGTGCCAGAGGTTTGTTTGAACTTGACCTTTGAGAGTGGAGACTCCAGTTTATTACTCTACCGGTTATCTTGCAATTCGGAGACTTTTTCACTGAAGTAGCCGCAAAGCTGTAAAGTCAACTAATGTACAACCATTCCTCGAGGCAGGGAACAGCATCTCGGCCGCTGGTCACGCATTCGGAGGACTATGGGATATCAAACTCCGAAAGCGATTCCTTCTGTGTGGCGAACTGAAAGTAAGTGTTTGGTGGGTACGGAAGATTTACAAGCTAAGCTTTGCAACTGGCCCTCGAGAAATCTCTAGATGTGTGAGGTTGTAGGCGTGAGCATAGATAAGCATAGCTACTGGTTCCTTCTCGTTTCCCGTGCCAGGCACACTACGACTTCTGACACGCTGCCACTGAAGGACATTGGATTAAGAAACGAAATAAGACAGGGATTTTTTTATTCGCTTTTGGCTAGTTTGTAAGATTCACCTACTACTCTAGCGTTAGTTGTCAACTTGGTGAAGTAAAGTTCGAGGAAAGGACGATTGCCATTCTTTAAATTGTGCTCCTTGCCTAATGATGTGTATAATTCGAAAAAAATCAGTACATTCTTTCAAACGACCTTAGACACAGCTCTTCCGGTGAAGGGGTGGAGGGCTCAAAAGAGTACCTGAAACACATAGGAACCTATTAGTTTTTCGTTGAAGTAATGCAATGTCACACAAACTTACCGCTGCCAATTTGTGGACAACAACAGTGGAAAACAACAGTTCAAAGGCCTTTGAGATGCCCGTTATTGCTTTCTTGAAAGTTGCTAAATCTGTTCTTCATGTCTGCGCTTAATCATATCGAAAACCCCCAGGATGACTCCACCGATCGTTGTTATGTATATGGGCACGTGTCCATTAAAACATACACAGAAGAAGCACTCTAGAACCTTTTGGTCTTCTCAAGTGAGGTCTCTTTTGAGTTTTTTTGTCACTTGCTTAATGGTGACTCTCTTCTGGAGTCGGTTTCAAGAATATCCCAAATCGCAACTGCCCACGCGGCACGATCCGCATTATTTGCCCTGTGATTGTGATGGAAGAAAAACCAGTTTGCAGAACCTGACATCTCTTTTCTGATCCAGCTAAAGTTTTGTTTTTAAAAGTTCATTTTATGACGGCGCACTTGAACTTTTTAGAGTTAAAAGACAGGTAATTCCACATCCATTATAAGCTTACACATCAAGCACTAGCAATCAATAAAGCTTACCTTCCATACGACGCTCCTCCTTGGGGGCGTGAGGAGAGGGCAAGTTGGTGATCGGATCGAATGCTGGGGTACAAGAAATGAACGTCCAAATGATCAGTTCAACGATTCGTCGCTGTGGTTGGAAGTCTGCTTTAGGCTACCGATTAGCGCGTGGGGTGTTCACTTCACCATAGTCTATAAAACTATCTTCCATGATTTGACCTCAAGCATTTTATCACGTATGCTCTATAACAGTAATTCCAGTTTTAGTAGGTATCTTACAGCCCGTTTTTAAGATTTGAGGTTTCGAGTATTTTTTCAGGCTTTTCGTGGTTGTATTATGGAATGTCTAACACATCATTTTTGAACGTTTGACTTTGAGATGTTCGGCCGGACTGTCGACTGTCCTTAAGGCTTTTGTTAGCTGGGGATTCGCATCATTTAACCTGGCATATCCTCGGTCCTCGTTGTATGTGTAAACAGCGATGAATTTCAAATGGCTTTCAAATAGATTGTACCGTTATAAGGTAAACAGTAATTTTGACAAATGGAAGTCCAAGTACACGTATTGGAGTCGAACAGAGGCTTGGGAGCGGAGTCAGACCGCCTACCGGTTGGGTGCTTTGCCAAACCCTCTTTTGAGGATCCCTGTATTCCGTCACACGTACGCACTTGCGTCTGTCAGTTGAATCACCATACTTTGGCTCAATCGGTTAAAGGTTGATATGTGTCATTCTTATTGTGACACTTTCGTGTGACTTGCACAATGGGTCAGACATTAACATTGTTCAGATACCCAAAAAGGTTTGGCTCTGGGCGATTTTACTACCTATGTACTAGTCATTTTAAGGTCAACCAAATCCATTTCTGCTCTCTAACAAAGTCGGTTTTTTGGTGTGAGTTGGTGCAGGTTATTTTATGATCGAATAGTCAGTGTTGGCGTGGGCAACTTTCGGAACACCCTTCTATCTTTTATTCTTTGCAACTGAAGACAATATTCGTGTCACCTCCGACCTCAGCGCATTTCCACCCACTAGGCATTGATGGTGCTGCCTAAACTTTTGTTTTTGGAACTTGGAACTTTCCATAGTCTTGCTGTGTCCTATAATGAACTTATGTTTTACATCACAGTGATTCGAACAAAGTAAGCCGGGTATGAACGAAGATTCTGACAACCGCAGTAGCCGGCATGTTGTGTCTAGGAGCGAGTTGCGCATTTAGTCGGTCTATGGCATCACACAACTCTCGCAACTCGTTTTAAATTTTATCCAACCTTTGAACATCAAATTCTATGCTGACTGAGACTGTGTTCCATGCCATCGATTTTACTATTTTCCGTGTTGCTGTGACACGCCCCATCCACGGAGGACTAGGCTATCATCAAACTGTCAAGTGGCCACCAACTTGTCAAGTAAATCATTTTCGGAGATTCAGAACAAATCGTTGTCCACTTCTCTTGTATGCTATTCACCCACAGAATCCTCCTTATCCAATTTCATGACAAAATTCCCATTTTCTTGTCAACTGTCAGGTTGACGCTTGCCATCGTGGCCTGAAGCTTTGCTCTACCTGGCGCAAGTCCACTTCCAAGAACGCACATAACCCCGAGTCCGTTGCACCAGACATTACAACTTCATGGAGCACATCGATTGACGCACTTGACTTTGGATGACAAGAGTAACAACTGCAATATACTATGTGGTTAGAAGCTCAAAAAACTGCACGCGGTGGTACCCTAGTTGTCTCAGGTGTACTCAGCCAACGGATACGAGTTGTCTAGTGGCTGGTGAACCGTGCATGAATTCTAAAAACCGGGGTTAAGATGATCCGCTATCATGCGCTGGTGATAACCAGCTTTATTGTGCCCGTTAAATCTTTGTTGCCATGGCTTGGAAAACAACTGCTGCATAACCGGTATGCATAGACAAGAAGCCACAAAAATTTGACATTGTAACTAGACTGAGTGGCGAACGGAAGGGGTGCAAAGTCCGGTCGGGGTAAAGTGCAACAACCGCTAATGGCAGCTACAATCTTCCTGATTGCCAGTTGAAAAACCGACTTCCCAAAGCCTATTCGTACCTATGCCACTATACCACTGAATCAACAGCAGATGCCACATAGCAATGCTATCAGGTGTAACGATTCGCCGCTGGCAACTGGATTTCCCGTGAAAAGCCCATACATTCTGCCATAGCACTCCTACAAGGACAAAGTTGCGCCATAGAACAGAACTTCCCTGGCCAATATAGGAACTATCTCCTGTATGGTAACGGCAGTTACTTTAGACTTTAATGCTCAATGTCAGTCATACTTTCAGGAAATTCGATAATTCCAATAAACTGCCATCTGTAAATAAGAGTTGGATGTTCTTGGGTGCAAAGTTCCTCTTGCGCTTATGCGGTCATTTCATGTGGTGATGTTCGACTCAGAAGTCGTTGAAAGGCAAGTGATAGAGGGACAGCTGAGATCATAAGGTTTTCTCAGAAGTTTTTCTGTTATAAAGACGTTGGATAACAAATCCATCAGTCCTGAGTACTCTTGTTGCTTTGAAGTCGATGTGCAAGTGTGGCACTGGAAACTGCGAACCCATCGACCAATCATTTTCATTAAGTAGCTGGTTGCTTGAAGACACATTCTGTCATTTTGGCCAGGTGCGTTCGTTGTGGCTTTGAAGTAACTGACCCTGAATCTCGTGTTTGAATATAGTGGGTTTCTGAATTTTTTTCTCCCATACACTTCCCGTTATATTCCTGAACTCCCTGCACTAAATTCTTCAAAGATCTCATTCGTACCTTCCTTGAACTGTTATATAATGATCATTTGGGCGTGACATCTTTTCGGTGCTTGGGTTCTATGCAACCCACGGGGGCTGAGATGATACCGGTCGCCCAAACCTAGACAGGAGTCAGCGAGAAGCCAAGGATAACTTGATACAGTGAACCTTCCTGACAGCAACTTCGTCACTCGTAAACCAACTTATCCACGGTCCTTTCCTATTGTCAAGTGGTTAATAAGCACCATGCTTTCTTACTAGGTACCATTTAATAACGTTCTCCAAACGATTTCAATGTGCTCCCGACTACTGCACTTTAACCGGAGTTCTTTTTCAGCACGGTTCTGCATGCATCATTTGAACCGTGAAGTGCAACGTATTCTTTCAGTCAGCCGCCAGTGTAGCCTTCATCCGCTACGGAGACGGCAGCTGATGGCCATTCGCACACACTGATGTTCAAACTTGTTGCTTGCCCGTGTGTTTGTCAGTCTATCTGTATTGATCTGTCTGTGTCTGGCCGTTAAAAATAGCCACCAACAGCCTGTCACACTGTTGGGCAATGTGACTGAATGGTCTACTCTGATTGGATCGTTCTTACTGCGAGAGAAAATCACCCACGGGAAGTGACAGGTAGCAAAAAATTCCAGTGTTTCGTATGCTGTAATTTGGTACTACTACTACTACTACTACTCGTTGGTGTTCACTAATGGTAATTCTCAAACAGGAGACTGTCGAATGGCAGTTAAGAACGTGGTTTTCAGTAGGAGCTATGCATATTATTGAATTCAGTATGTGGATGTAAGACAGGCATGCCGTTACTATGAGGTGACTTAAGAACAGATCGCCTCCAATTATGTTTCAAAGCATGTCGTTACGCGGTATTATTATGTTAGTTTGATTCACTTTCTTTTCGCTTGCAACTACAGCATCGTCTCCATAGGGAGACGTTTGCAGATGATACTAAACTCTCCCAGACATGCGCCGTATCTTCGTGAGTGGTAAGCACAATCAAGCTCATATTCGCCTGCGATGAGTTTGGTGTTTCCGAGTGTTCTGGGAATATGTATTTGCTAAAATCTTTTCGGTTTTTCAGGCAATCCCTTTAGAATGTCCTCAAACTAGGTCTACAGGAGTTGGGGTTCAGTATTCCGGTTTGACATGTTTTATCACTATCACACTCTAGTGCAGTACTCGGTTGGGACGTAAAAAAATTTTAAAAGTTCACTTGGGATAGCCCGAAAATACTCTGCAATGCCTATGGCCTACATCGGCGAGCACAGTTTTATCTGCTTTCGTCAGAACAGAGGCTACACCGCAAAAAAGTCCATTCTGCCATCCAATCAGAGAATACATTTACTCAATCCTCCCAGTGGTATACACGGAAATCTTCATCGCTACGCACCACCTACAGATTAGAGCTGATAGCAATGCTTCAGGGACTGATGACTGTTTCTCAAGCACACACTTTCTCTCCTGGTATTTTCCAACTCATGTAACAAACACCCGAACTGTAGTGGATAACGCTGGCAAATACCAGTTCAAAGTAGTTAAGTCAAGTGAGTAAAAATAGGCGAGATGATACGACTCACAGTTCGTTGGTACAGTTAGTTATTACCACCACAATAAATCCAAATCGATCTCCTTCCTGGAATCTTCCTTAATATATTCCTAGATACTTTCTATCCCGTCGTAGTCTGAAAGGCAGAGCACCGCTCGTTAAGTCATTGACAGCTTAACTCGACACGACAAGAAGGGAACATGCCTTTCACGACGTACAGAATTTGCATTGTGTGTATGCGTCCATATTCCTTTGCTTTCATTTAAACAAGTTATTCGGTATGAAGAGAAGAGGAATAAGCTGAGATTTAGTGGGAGACAGAAAGTGGTACAATTTGAGTAATGATAAGTTACAAAGAAAGTACTAATGTACAATGGTCAGAAGGATCACCATAGATCAACCAGATAACTTAGAAGTCCGTTCTCGCCGGCCCTTACAAATCTGATTCCAACACCACGCTTCTGTGCGCTTATATCGGCTTTTACTAGGTCCCTTGTAATATAATACCGTGTGTCAGCAAGCTCAGCCTCTTGTCGCTAGCCTACTAAGTACAAATCTATCTGTCTTCTACTCCATGTGATCACTTGTCATTACCCTAGTTGCAGCAGAAATTACAACTTAATGGAGCACATCGATTGACGCACTTGACTTTGGATGACAAGAGTAACAACTGCAATATACTATGTGGTTAGAAGCTCAAAAAACTGCACGCGGTGGTACCCTAGTTGTCTCAGGTGTACTCAGCCAACGGATACGAGTTGTCTAGTGGCTGGTGAACCGTGCATGAATTCTAAAAACCGGGGTTAAGATGATCCGCTATCATGCGCTGGTGATAACCAGCTTTATTGTGCCCGTTAAATCTTTGTTGCCATGGCTTGGAAAACAACTGCTGCATAACCGGTATGCATAGACAAGAAGCCACAAAAATTTGACATTGTAACTAGACTGAGTGGCGAACGGAAGGGGTGCAAAGTCCGGTCGGGGTAAAGTGCAACAACCGCTAATGGCAGCTACAATCTTCCTGATTGCCAGTTGAAAAACCGACTTCCCAAAGCCTATTCGTACCTATACCACTATACCACTGAATCAACAGCAGATGCCACATAGCAATGCTATCAGGTGTAACGATTCGCCGCTGGCAACTGGATTTCCCGTGAAAAGCCCATACATTCTGCCATAGCACTCCTACAAGGACAAAGTTGCGCCATAGAACAGAACTTCCCTGGCCAATATAGGAACTATCTCCTGTATGGTAACGGCAGTTACTTTAGACTTTAATGCTCAATGTCAGTCATACTTTCAGGAAATTCGATAATTCCAATAAACTGCCATCTGTAAATAAGAGTTGGATGTTCTTGGGTGCAAAGTTCCTCTTGCGCTTATGCGGTCATTTCATGTGGTGATGTTCGACTCAGAAGTCGTTGAAAGGCAAGTGATAGAGGGACAGCTGAGATCATAAGGTTTTCTCAGAAGTTTTTCTGTTATAAAGACGTTGGATAACAAATCCATCAGTCCTGAGTACTCTTGTTGCTTTGAAGTCGATGTGCAAGTGTGGCACTGGAAACTGCGAACCCATCGACCAATCATTTTCATTAAGTAGCTGGTTGCTTGAAGACACATTCTGTCATTTTGGCCAGGTGCGTTCGTTGTGGCTTTGAAGTAACTGACCCTGAATCTCGTGTTTGAATATAGTGGGTTTCTGAATTTTTTTCTCCCATACACTTCCCGTTATATTCCTGAACTCCCTGCACTAAATTCTTCAAAGATCTCATTCGTACCTTCCTTGAACTGTTATATAATGATCATTTGGGCGTGACATCTTTTCGGTGCTTGGGTTCTATGCAACCCACGGGGGCTGAGATGATACCGGTCGCCCAAACCTAGACAGGAGTCAGCGAGAAGCCAAGGATAACTTGATACAGTGAACCTTCCTGACAGCAACTTCGTCACTCGTAAACCAACTTATCCACGGTCCTTTCCTATTGTCAAGTGGTTAATAAGCACCATGCTTTCTTACTAGGTACCATTTAATAACGTTCTCCAAACGATTTCAATGTGCTCCCGACTACTGCACTTTAACCGGAGTTCTTTTTCAGCACGGTTCTGCATGCATCATTTGAACTGTGAAGTACAACGTATTCTTTCAGTCAGCCGCCAGTGTAGCCTTCATCCGCTACGGAGACGGCAGCTGATGGCCATTCGCACACACTGATGTTCAAACTTGTTGCTTGCCCGTGTGTTTGTCAGTCTATCTGTATTGATCTGTCTGTGTCTGGCCGTTAAAAATAGCCACCAACAGCCTGTCACACTGTTGGGCAATGTGACTGAATGGTCTACTCTGATTGGATCGTTCTTACTGCGAGAGAAAATCACCCACGGGAAGTGACAGGTAGCAAAAAATTCCAGTGTTTCGTATGCTGTAATTTGGTACTACTACTACTACTACTCGTTGGTGTTCACTAATGGTAATTCTCAAACAGGAGACTGTCGAATGGCAGTTAAGAACGTGGTTTTCAGTAGGAGCTATGCATATTATTGAATTCAGTATGTGGATGTAAGACAGGCATGCCGTTACTATGAGGTGACTTAAGAACAGATCGCCTCCAATTATGTTTCAAAGCATGTCGTTACGCGGTATTATTATGTTAGTTTGATTCGCTTTCTTTTCGCTTGCAACTACAGCATCGTCTCCATAGGGAGACGTTTGCAGATGATACTAAACTCTCCCAGACATGCGCCGTATCTTCGTGAGTGGTAAGCACAATCAAGCTCATATTCGCCTGCGATGAGTTTGGTGTTTCCGAGTGTTTTGGGAATATGTATTTGCTAAAATCTTTTCGGTTTTTCAGGCAATCCCTTTAGAATGTCCTCAAACTAGGTCTACAGGAGTTGGGGTTCAGTATTCCGGTTTGACATGTTTTATCACTATCACACTCTAGTGCAGTACTCGGTTGGGACGTTCCTTCCTAATGAGAACTGCATGAATATATTATCGTTTTCATTTTTTTTGCAATCTTTTTGAGAGGACACTCACTGTTAGGTTCGTATTGACTTTTGTCTTCGGAATCCAAATGTAATCCCAAACCCTTTGCCACTAGTTCCTGACGTTTTGCTGATTGACTGGTATTTGCCACATTTGTAAGTAACAAACACCAGTCAGGTGTGACGCGCTCTACCAATTTATCTCGATTTTTTTTCACTCAGTGAAAGGGGTGTCTTGCTTTGTATACTGAAAGGTGTCACTTGTGACAGAATTACTGTCATGACTGGGCACAATAGGCCATCCGGTTGGGGCTGTCAACTGGTTCACTTGCTTTGTTAGTTTCAGGTGCTTCTGTTTTCACGCTGCGAGTGCAGTCGTTTACAGGATAAGCACAGTCATTGTGTCTGCAACATCCTCTCTTCCTGTTTTGCCGTCAATTTTGGCGCCCATTAAACGTTAGACCCTCGGCTATTGCAATATCAGTGCGCACTGATGATTCGATGTGCCTGGGGATCAGATTAATAACAAACAAATCCATTGACTCTCCATTAACCAGATCTGGACTGATAAACTAATTCGCTTTCAGGATCAACTGCAGTGTTGTCTCCAATTGAGCCCCCTCCTCTCAAAAGGAACGCTTTGTGAAAGTTGCAGTTCGCAGTGTGAGAGATGAGGTACAGTCTCCTCGCAAATTCCAAGTAACAAAAATGAGGCTTCATACTCCATGATCGATGTGGTTGAGTCTGAGTACGGCTAAAATCCAAGACCCTCAAACACTGCGTGCTAAGCACTTGTGGCTTGCGTGTGTTACTACTTAGGAGAACGAAACGTCATTCTAATATGTCCGTTTGGAAGTGTGATGTTGTTCTGTTTAGATGTACTGTGCCTGAACGTGTACAGTCGTTCTCAGTTTGATCGTATTGAATTGGCAGTTCCGTGTAGTTAGTAGTGGAGTTTAGAATCTTAGATGTCCCTGGAATATTTGACCTGATGATTTGCAGAGAATCCACTATCTCTAAGCGCTTGGATTTCTTCCTCTAAAATTCCTCCTCAGGAAGGAACTTGTCCTCATCTAGGAACCATTGTGTTTGCGAAACTCTCGTTGAGCGGTCCCAATGAGCTGCCCTCGAAGTGTACCCCACAACCAGTAATGTAAGATGCACACATAAATAACCAGAATAACTTGAAATGGGAATTCCGAAACGGAACAACAAGAAAAACTGAACAACTCACATCTGTTTCTTTGTGGGAAATGCCGCATCTCCGCGGAACGATTGAATGATTTGGAGGCAGCTTCGTCATAATGATGCAGAATCGGGTCACGGGAAACTTCCAGAAGTAGAACAGTAGAACAGAACAATTAATGATATATTTCTATTGGATTGGTTGGTTCTGGACTCTCAGTCTTGTTGTGTATACACATTTTCACCCTTAATTTAACTGGCCCGATACAACGCTTACGTTCATCGTCTGTTTAAGTTGACCGAATTGATGAATGCCGAACGTGAGTGTTTTACAATGCTTGGAAACAATGTGTTTACCTGTAATGCAAGCCACTGAAAGCCTGGTGGTTTGCTGTTTAATGTTTGCTTACTCTCAGGCCGAAAACAAGCTAGAATTTACCTCCAAGAGTGCTTACAAGGCACTATTTTCCTTTAGTCAAAATGACGCCGTACGTTGACAGTACTTTCCCATCTATCGCGAAAATTTTCGGCAGATGTGTCTGAAGAGAAAGTTAGCTTATGGGACAGTTGGTAATGTGTTGAAATATTGGTAGCTCGGTTGAGTTTATTGGTTGTTGATCCGGTGGCTGTTGATCTGTTCGCCGAGCTTGGCAATTGGCTTGCAAACGTTTCGTCACCATACGAGGAGACATCATCAGTGCGCAGTTGAGTGGGTACTTCTTCCTTGTCTGCGTACGCTTATATAGCATTCGAAGTCTATTTGTTATCTTCTGACGTGATTGGCTACTTGATGAGAAGGGCATTGGTATGTCAAAAACACATTATAAAAGACAACTTTCTGAACACAGGAGTGTGCCGCATATAGTGAACACATTAAGTATAAATAACAAGAAATAATATATGCACATATGTACATACACACATATATACATATATATTATACATTTG